CCGTGACCCATTGCCGGGGGAGCTGGTGGCCGGGGGAGGCCGTCGGACAGAGGAAACGTTTCAGGTTTTGACAGTGTTTCTGGACTATTGCTGTGTCCTCTTTTATAATGATTAGTGGTGGTTATGTGTGTTTACAGGTGTGTGCAGTATGCTTACGTGTGTGTCAGCTAACCATGTAACAGGCCTTTTAAGTGACTTCCCCCGCACCCCATATTTCTGACCCCGAGGATCATTTATTTTCACACCTTAAAAACCGAGTTTGAATGATGAACTCGTCTTGTATCTGGGGTTTGCTGGTTTAATGGAACATGTAATCAAAAGCGTTTGTTGCTGAGGGGTAGGCCTGTCCATCTCCCAAACCCCCAGGTAGAGCCTTGTGTCCAACCCTCGCCATGGGCATGCCTGGTATGGTGAGGGATTGACACACTGACTGAGTTGCTTAATCTGCAGGGTACCTTTGTCAAATACAGATTTTCTTAATTGCTAAAGCACTAGTATAAGAGTTATATTCAGACTAGCTTTCTTCTTTTTATCCGTTTAAGAGATATATACACGGGATATGCAAGAACAGCATTACCTTGCTCTATTATGCAAGGGTAATTCCTGTCTACCTGTACTGATGTGCAGGTATATAACTTTCAGCGTCTTCTTATATATGCTTCCTTGAACTCCCATGTTCTCATCTTGAGCACAGAGTGGTCCCAAAGCAGCACTGTCAGTTACTGCTTGTCCTTCCTGCAGAGCAGTACCTTTGGATTCCTGTCCACATCTTTAGAAAGCAGGCTGTTGGGCTGAGCTGAAGGCTGATTACAAAATGTTTGCAGTCTGTTTGGTTGTTCTTTCAAAATAAATAATCCCTGTATTTTATCTATGATAAAACACAAGTAACTTAATGTTAATTTTCTTCAATGTGTGAAGAAGTACAGGTGTTGCTCTACCACACCTATGAGATTAAAAAAAAAGCTATTACTGTGAATGCTTTCAGCAAGTAAACAAAAGAAGCCCTAATGTGTTATAGATGATCACAATGTAAACTTGGTATTTTCCAAAAGTAAAGGGAACATATCCACGACATTGAAAACAAGATTTTTTTTTTTCCAGAATTCCCCCCCTCCAGCAAATGTGAATACAAATATTCTGTTAGAGTGCATTTACATTCTCAGTTTGTCACATAGGGCAAAGCATTTTTAATACAACTATGTGTTTTGGCTTCTGTGTTAAATACTTTATTGCAGTTGAGTAATTAAGGTGGTTTTTCTCCTTTCATTTCCAGGTTATCTCTGGCCTGAAGCTAACACGATTGTTTGCTTCAAATCAGATTCTGCCAAGTGAATGTCTCAGTTGCCTAGTAGAACTCCTTGAGGATGCTAATATAAACTCATCTCTAACCTTGTCTGTGCTTACTTTGCTGTCACAGCTAGGTAAGGTTTGCATCTAAACTTTTTATCTGGGAAAGGAAAGACAAGATGGGTGGTGATTCTGTGGCATGGTGATGAACATGGAGGAAGTCTAAAGTGTGAAAGATGAAGTGGTTTTCATTTTAGTAGAGTGCTTGGCTGAGGCAAATGAATATATGTACAAGGCCAGATCAGATGATATATCACATGAGAAGCAGATTTGAAGTCATCACTGAAATGACAACTATCATGCTTTTCAGAATTTGTTTCCACCCTGAGTAGGGTGAGGAATTATTCTCTTGTCCTTGATTTTTTTGAGCTTGAAAGATTCCTTTTTTTTTAATGAAGTGACAAAACCTGCCTAGGGGGATGCAAAGATAGGCAGAAGCCACTTTACATCAACAACTGTCATCACTTCAGTTTACTTCTCCCATTGGAGTGTTTGCTGGGCTGCAGGTTGGAGTCTCCAATGGCCTGGGCATGTATGCATCAAGTTTCCCAATTACAAAATAGGTTATGCTACCTCTTGCTTGTTTCCGCTTAGATTGGTAGCCAATACACCTGTTGCCTTTGCTGTTAGACAGGTCATTTGTTTTAGTTTTGTTTTTTTTTTAATAATTCTTAAATTCTAGCTCTAGACAATGAGACTAGAGAAGCTCTTCAGGATACCTACAATCTGACCAGTGTGCTGGCAGGAGTGGTTCATCGAAGTTCTACTAATCTTAGCAACCCAGTCTTATTACAGGTAACAGGAACTAATGCTTAATAATGTGACTATGGTTATGTAGTATACATTATACTGTATGCATATAATAACTCTTCCGAAGTGCTGTCTGAAATAATGTGTTGAGGCAGAGTTAATCTTAGATGTGTATTTTATTTGTTGTGTGAAGCTAGTATGACAGGATTTTAACACTGCATGGAGTTCTTTGTATTCTCTCTTCAGTCCTACTTGTGTTGCTCACCTACTCAAATTAAAAAACCAAAAACCAACAAACAAACCAAAACCAACAACCAACTGAAAAAAAAAAGTCCACCCTGTATTTTAAATTATTTCAAGAAATCACTGCTTCAGGGCTTGGAAAGTTACTTTCAGTTGAAGTATTTAGTTGTTTCTCCTAAAGTTCGTAACAAAAGCATGGCTGTATCGTCTAATCTTTGTCAGGTAATTGTGAAGGAGTGAAAGAAAGTGTTCAAGGCCAAGTTGGATGGGGCCTTGAGCACACTGATCTAGTGGAAGGTGTCCCTGCCCATAGCAGGGGGGTTAGAACTGCATGAACTTCAAGATCCCTTCCAACCCAAACCAGCCTATGATTCTTTATTAATTTCATATTAACTCAGTTATGTGCCAAAAGAATGCTGTCTGAAGGATTTTACTACCGATGGATCTGTTGGCAGTCTTTACAGCAAACCTATTTTCCTATAAACATACTTTCTATAAGAGGCTGCAAGGTGCTTTTTGGATTTCGGTGGCACTTCTAGATCTTCCAATAGGAAAAAGCCCCTTTCTCACTGACAGAATGGAGAACTTGCTGGTGAGGCAATGGGGAGAACTGGATGGAGTAAAGGTAACTCCTCTGTCAAAATAAGATCTTACTAATCTGCTTGGTCTTCTACTGAGTACATCAGTATGGTAGGACATTACTCATTGTGCTTGCGGCAGATTGTGTAATTGTTATGTTAACATTGGAGAGTCTAAGAATTTAGTGGTGGTGTCTTGTTATTTGTCCTTTCAGTTTCAGCTTTTGTAACTTGTAACATTCTTCAGTGATATGCTATAGGAAAGACGTGTGAATACTTTTTATTTCCTCAGAGTATTCAGTTGCTGCAGAGGCTAACCTACAATGTTCCTGTCTTTTCTGCTGGTGCCAATATCGATGAATTGATTTCATTTCTAATGCAGCATGTGTAAGTGTGTACTTGGTTGTCTTTTCTTATGGGAAGTATCTAGCTAAGTTTCCAAACTTTCTGAAGGCCATTAGCATATTGCACTAACCTGGTCTCCAGAGTGAGCTGTGTCATTTTTGCTCTGAATTCTTTGAAAACCATGCTGTTACAGATTGCCAGCTGCAATGATTGTGGGACTTTGGGTGATTGAATATCAATTTGCCTCATAGCCCACCTGCACATCCCTAGGAGCAGGGAGCTAACAAAGAGAAAAGCCAGAAGAAAATTCATGCCTGTCATTAGGAGTAAACTTTTTAGATGAATACAAATTTTGTGCACATGTACTCATGAAAGGTGTAATGACTGTTAAAAGCCCTGATCTCTGGTATTGGGGTGTTTTTTCAGATGCACTCCATTAAAAACTGCCCGCACTATGGTGACTGCAGTTTGAATTTCACTTTGCTTGGTGGGATGGTGGCTAATTAGAAAACCAAACAAAACCCCAAAATAAAAATCTTCCATGCCTCCTGTCCCCCACACTACAACTTTTTGCAATTAAATTCTAGATGCTTTAATAAAAAATGGTTTGTTTGTTTTTTAAACTTCTGGGCTTTTCCTTTAAGTCAACCTACTGAAGATGAGTTAACGATACCGTGTTTAGGACTCCTGGCAAATCTCTGTCGTCACAACTTGTCTATTCAAACCCGGATAAAATCTTCGGTAAGAGTTTTGCTGTTGTGGCGTTATCATCTGGCTTGAGGGCAAAACGCTTGACTCTGGGGAACTACCTTAGTATTTCTTAGGCACTTTTTTGGTGGCAGTAATAACCCTGACCTGCTTGTTCTGCAGTGCTGGTGTTTGTTTCTCCCATGTTTGAGAAAATAACTGGTAACTCAGGAAGCTGGGTGTTCTTTTTCCTTCTCTACATCACTAGTTTGTGTTACGTGTTCAGTGTCTGCAACAGTTCTGTGCACAGGAAAGGTGAATTTAAAATTTGAGCGTTCTTCCTTAGAAAAAATACATGTTGTTAACATAAGAAGACTGTAGTTGGATATTTTTTTTGTAAGCTGGGTTGGTAGCTTTGGCCAAGAAAGAGTTTTGCCTTTTAAAAGACATTAAAATACCACTGATCTTGATAAGCAGAGATAATGAGCACTGTTCACTGAGCAGAGAAGGGACTGGGTCAATTTTCAGTGGTGATTTTCTATTAGAGACTTCAGTAAAATTACTTTCTTATCTTTCTTTCAAATAATGATGGAATGTCTTTCTTGGGTGGTTTTTTTGTTTTGTTTGCTTTTGGGTTTAGTTTTTTTGTTTATTTGTTTGGTTTTCATTGTAAAAGTTCAAGATAGAATTTGGACATTGACATCAACACCAGTATTGTGCAGTAGAACACTAAAATATATTTCCTAGAGAATTGTTACGGTTCTAATACGGTTTTTGTATTGTTACTCATTATTTGTATGGCTTATTTATAAGTATGTACAATCTGTGAGTTTGGTGTTTTTACAGAACAGAATAAAGTTTGTGATGCCTGTGTTTCTCCTTGTTTTAGAATAACGTGAAGAGTTTCTATCGTACCTTAATAAGTTTCCTGGCCCATAGTAGTTTGACTATGGTTGTGTTTGCACTTTCGCTATTATCAAGCCTTACTTTAAATGAAGAAGTAGGAGAAAAAGTGAGTAATATTGAATCTGTTACATTCTTAAATTGTAGATAAAGCTAATATACACTGGCAAAGAAAATTCTAATTCTAGCTAGTCTGACTAAAAACCCAGCAAAGTAAGTATGTGCCCATACATAACTTCCGTTTTTCTTTCAGCTCTTTCATGCTCGAAATATCCATCAGACGTTTCAGTTAATATTCAATATTGTTGTAAATGGAGATGGTACTCTAACAAGAAAATACTCTGTTGATCTATTCATGGATCTTCTGAAGAACCCCAAAGTTGCCGATTATCTTAGCAGGTATCGCTTCACTTCCTTAAAGTATATTTGTCCTAAGCTCTTGTGAAGTTTCTTTGCTGTGTGCTATTTGTATTCTGAACCAAACACAGGGGGGAAAAAAAAATCCCTAGGTGATTTTTGAATGTTACAAGTTGAATATAACTGCTGTATCTGAAACTGAAGGATTCTCGTGTTACTACTTTCACATGGATGTGTGAATCAATGTATTTTTTTTTCATCGTCACTTAAGGAATATTTAATAGTGTGTTCAGTAATTCTTTGTCTGGACAGTAATTCTTTGTCTGGTGGTCAGACAACTTGGTGAGTAGCTGTCTTGCCTGTTACAGGTCTATATTATCTTGAAGTGGAATAGTATGGTTGAAGCTGTAATAATTTCACTGGAGGGTGGTAGAGCTGTGGAGAGCTTGACTAGTTCTGCAAATTCAGATAGCAGATTTTAGTTGCTGAATTTCAATCTAAACCTAATAGTAAAAATAGCTGGAAAATCTTGGCTTATTTTAAGGAATTTTCTTTCATTCTTAGAATATTTTTAAAGCTTAGTCCACTTTAAATAGAAGTTACATTATCAAAACTGTTACTGTAGTTGAAGTGTTTGGGGGTAAGGAGGAGAACAGGGCACTTGTATGTGTCTTGCTACAAATGTCTGAGTGCAGCAAAATTACGTTCTGGTTTTTTTCTTTCCTCCTCTATGCATGCTATAGATATGAGCACTTTACCTCATGCCTTGGTCAAGTATTAGATCTTCTTCATGGAAGGGATCCCAATTCATCATCTAAGGTATTTATACTTCATCAGTTTAAGGCTAAGAGGGTACAACTCCTAATCGAGTTCCACTTCTGCAGTCGTAAGTAGGCTCCTTGTGTACAAGGGTTGATAATGAAATATATTGACTTCAGGATTCTTAAATGACCTGTGGTCATTTCTATGCTCTATATTTCTAAACTCTAGTTATTCACAAGGCTGACAGGTTGGATTTGTGGTGGCTGTTTTTTTTGCCAGATTGTGTCTGCTTTCAGGCAGCAGACCTGAAGGCAATAAGCCAACATAAACACCTTTTGTGCTTTGGCTAGTAGGAAATCTTGGGATCTACCCGAAATGCAGTGTGTACCCTACTTCACAAGCTAAAGCTTGAATTGATACTACTAGGACTCTGATCAGGGAACAGTGATGCTCACTGCCAAGACTTATTAATGCATTCTCTCGTATTAGTTGAACAAATTGATGCCACATTTGGTTAAGCAGTTAATTGTTTTATTCAACTTTGACTCACTATCACTTTATGTAAATGAAATATTGGCTATCCGTTGCTAAAGATTAGAATATTAAATGTTGTGGAAATATTTAGGCTAAATACATCTGTGGAACAACTCTTAGCTTTTCTTATGAATGTGTTTCACATCATAGTAAATAATAAATGCTAAGGTTTCTGTTTATGTGGTTTGTGTTTATGTGGTTGATTTAGCAAGACATTGACAAGGAGCCTTCCAGGGTGCTTTCCTCTTCATCCCTGAGAATGCAGATGTGCATCTGTTCATGTCTTAGAATATTTGCCCTTCCATAGCTTTTTTTTTTATTCTGAGCGTATATGTGTTTCTATTGCTTATTGGATAGCCAGCAGTCATGCTTAAAAAAGAAGGGAAAGCAATACACTCAGTGCTGTCACAAGCCTTCACCAGTGTAATGAGCTGTGTTGTGCTGCTGACTTGGCTTTAAGGAAAGAAGATTAGTCTTCAGAGAATTTTAAAGTGCTAAAAGGAGTTGCATAGGACTTGTGTATCTTTCTAGACCTGTGCTATGGGAGTTGCAATTTCTGTGTAAGTACTTGATTTAAAAGTGTTTGAACTCTCATTCACTTCACACAGATCTTAGAGCTCCTGCTTGCCTTCTGTTCTGTGATAGAACTGCGTCATATCCTGCGACAGGCAATACTGGAACCATCTGGCTTGCCAGTCTCTGGAAATACCAGATTTGTGACTCGCTCAAAGACTTTTGAACCATCTGTTGCATTGGTGCACTTGTCAAACCAACCATTGGAAGGCTCTGAAGACTCTTCAGTTCTAGCATTGCAACTCTTCAAAGAGATTTTTGAGGTACCAAGACTGATAATTGAGTTTGAAGAGCTTGTTAGCAGCTATAATTTTAATTGACTTTCAAACCACTGTTAGCATTTTACTTGAAAAATAGCATGTAAAAATATACCTTAAATAAAATTCTTCCTGTTCTAGAATTCCACGCTTTGTAAAACAGCTTTTCTTTAAAAGATAACGCTGTGTGGAAAATTAAGTGGAAGATGCAGCAGTTTGTGAAGTCATGAGGTAGATGCTGTCAAATCTATCAAACAGTTGCTTACTAAGGCTTGAAGCAGTGAGGAAGTTTCTGCTGTTTCTTTGTTAAATTCCTTCCTCAAGTATATTACTAATCCACAATCATAAACCTGAAATAGCAAGAGGCTGGGAAAGCAAGAAGACAGCCTGGTGGAGGAGGGGGTAGAGTAGGCTTGGCTTCCTTGCTCTGTAGTTTTAAAAATTACCATAAAATATCTTTATTACAGGATGTTATTAATAGTGGGAACAGTGCCTCAGCCGAGCATTTTGTGGATCTTTTGCTGCCTGTTCTTCTCGATCATCTTCAGATGCCAGAACAGATTGTGGATGAGCTATTAGTGAAGAAGTGTGAAAGAATGGCCAAGGCTATTAATGTCCTGACAAATATCCTTTTTATGTGCCTATTGGCTGTTAATTTATTCCTCCACCATGATCTGCTCTAAGGTGTTAGAAGAAATGTCTATCTTGGGTGACTTTAATAGCTTTTAATGATGATAACTGCCCCAGTTCTACTTAGGACTGTCATCTTGAAAGACCTTAAGTAGCTTTCTAATTGCTACGAAATTATTTTGTAATTTACTGATGCAGGATGAAATGTGGTGGCTATTCAACAGTAGAGAAGCACTTTGCAGATCAAAAGTGAACGTAAGTGTGTTCTTTTGAAATCACAAGGGGAGTTTGGCTTCCATCTTCTTGATCAGTGTAGTGTTTTTGCCTAGCTAAGTCAGGTGCAGCTCCCAGCCAAATGTGATACAAATTTAGATCTGTGAAATAAGGAAAAAAAATGTGAAATAATGCAATTTTGCACTCCTTTTGGAGTCCTTAGTGTCCATGGTGTCATGTAGGAAGGAGGACATGACTGCGTCTAAGCTGACTTCTGTGAAGAAGTCTATTTGCTAGTTCACTCCTAGATAACCAGTTCTCGTATTGGGGACTGATTGTTGGCTGCCTTTTGCTCATCTTTATGCCACTCATTTTGTTGTTGTTTCCCTTAGCTGTTTGTGTCCAAGTGAGTGTCTTCTAACTGAAAAGTGAAGCTTACTTGGTTTGTGAGTTAAGCATGTCTAAAGTGGTTTATGTAGCTGGGTTTTAAAAATGTTTTTGTGCTTTGATACACCAGCTTTTGTGTCCTCTTTTTATTAGAAAATATTCTCTTTTTGTGCCAATACATAATGATAGGTATATGAAATTTGTTCTTAACTCAGTCTACTGCTCTGTAGAGATGACAGACTGAAAATGCATGCCTCGAAGGTACTGACTGCGAGCCAATGCACATCTCTCTTAGAACACCAATTTACCTATAGTGGGATTGATACCGGTTTTGGAACAAAAGTAGGGGACTCTAAAATGTGGTGAGCACACATTTGTATAAAAGCTAATCTAGTAAGAATTGTTGTGATATTGTTTCAATGGAAAGTATATTGTTGTTGAAAGTACCGTTTAATTGCATGTAAATCAATACTGCTTTAAAATCAAATTTAGTATTTGAAATTAATGTTGCTGGTCAGTTCAATAATTAAAACCTATTTTAAACATTCAGATACTGTTTTTGGCATGAGCTGGGGAGCCACTTATGTGGAACAAGACCTTTAAGCCTTGTGCAGTAATTCAAGCTTATCTGAAATGAAGCTTACCAGAATTGCTTAATGCACCTAACTTTTCATTTTGATTTTATGCAACCAGAGTTCTAAAGTATGACACATCAGTACGGGAAGGAATTATTGCACTGAAAATGGAATATACATTCCTTCAGCTCAGTGTCATTAATCTGAATGTTGATAGAACCAAAAGTTATATGGCCAAAAATCAGAGAAATATAACTGGACCTACGATTAAAACCCGCCTCAGTTTCAACTTGAAAGTGTTTTTTTTGGTCTTCACTGTTGCTGGCCTTGGCATGCTGGAGAAGCTCAGCAGCGTGTCCAAGGATCTCTCTTGGTGATGGCATTGTTGCCCTGATAGACATACTTAATTTCATTGTGAAGGTATTAATTTATGTAGAAATTGACTAAATTTATCAGTGCTGATTTGACACATCTCACTCTACTTCCCCCCCTTATTTCCCCTTTGCTTTTCTATTTGTATGTTTAAAAGCAAACTTGCTGCTGATATTATTTTGAAAACACTTGATCTTATGAGCAAACTGAAGCAGGATGTACCTGGTATGGAGGTCAGCTTCTACAAAATTTTGCAGGTATGGTTTTAAAATGTCATATGAAACATATCAGTGAAGGGAAGTGTCACTGCAGTGCAGTAGCGTTAGTTCTGAATGTTTCGTATGCTTATCTCTGAAGTGGTAAAACTTCAAGGAAAATACAGCACCTCAGCACATTTCTTAAAGGTTGTTTCACTGTTAATTCTTCTAAAATAAGAGGTCTTGGCTTGTTACTGTGATTATTTATTTCAACAATGCATGTGAAATCATACTTCAGCTGCCTGGTAAGAATTATCCTTTTAAGACTGCATTAGGACTGCAGTTTAAAGGTATCAAACTAGGAAAAAAGTTATCACAACCATGTTATTTGTGCAGTTGGTTATTCTAATTTGTGATTTTTGCCTAGTTAAAACAGTTCCTCATAACTATTGGTCAGATGATATCTTAACAATTTACTTGGGAGATGGAAAAGTAATCCAGACAATCAGACACTTCCTGCTGTTTCAGAGGGTTTTCTTTCAAGAATGGAAGTTATGTAATTAATGGGTAACAGTGAGAGTTTCAATTCTCAGGAAATCCGTATAAAACTTAAGCTTTATGGTGGAAATAAAGCACTTGAAAATTTGAAGGAATTAGGCTCTTTACCTGTTGCATTGGCTTTAATGTGAAAACATGTTTCTAAATACTCTGAAGTGTAAGCTATTTTTAAAATTGTTTCTCTTCCATAACTTCAGGCTCAGAAACTTAGAAGGGCAAACTTTAAGAAGGTAGCCGAAGTTTTGAAGAAAACTTTTCTGTGCTAATGGGCCTTGATGCTGTGATATCTGGGTGGTTTTAGGATTTTTTTTGTCATTGACTGTTATATCTTGTTTTGACAAAAGCAGTTTCTTTTTTAGGATCAACGCTTGATTACACCTTTGACATTTGCTTTAACATCAGACCACAGAGAGCAAGTCCAAGTGGGACTTAGAATACTGTTTGAGGCTGCACCCTTACCAGACTTTCCTGCCATAGTGTAAGTTTCTTTTTGCAATAGAGTGGTAGGATTTGACATTTTTATAGGTTTAGTGCTATTGATCTTTCTCGGCATATTATTTTATTTGTAGTTAAGAGACAGTAGTGATCTTGGAGGCCAGAGGAAAGAAATAGTTCAAATTCTGATGGTATTCAATTAACATCAGATCCTAGAGAGAGTAGTGGTGTCTGACTTCTGTCCCTCAGAGTTCATTTGCCTGAAGTCTGTGCTTGGAATTTGGAGTGCATTTAACATTCTGACTGTCAGGTTGCTCTCTCTATTGAACTTTGACATGCATGTTACTCTTCAGTTCCTAAAGCTTTGTTTACTCTTTGGTAGTAACTTCCAAGAAAGAATAGAATAGGGTAAGACACAGGCAGATGGCAGTTCAGATAGTATTTAAGGTGGTCTAAACAGGGGAAAAATACTAAGAAACTCTATTTGATGGAGTCCCTATTTCTGTAGATGTAATAAATTAGGAAAAAGTATCTTAAATTGTATCATGGTCTTTGCAACCTCAAAAACCAATCTGAAATTTCTTTCCTTTTTGTTAATACAGCTTTTTTTAAAAAATAAATAGGGATTTCTTGAACGGACTTCCTGTTTGGATTTCTTTTTGGCATTTCAGCTGCTTTTTTGAGTGAAAGATTTGTAATATAGTTAGCTTATCTTGGATTCATGATCGTATTACTACTACTATTGGAGAAAAAGAAGGTGACCTAAGCAGATCATGCTGATTTGCCTCATTGTGATTTTTTGATTGTTTTTGAGAAAGCTTGTGAAGATAATGGCATTACAGGAACTTAAGAAACCCCTCTTCTCAGCCCTGGTGAGATCACATCTGGAGTGGTGTGTCCAGGTCTGGGCTGCCCAGTGCTAGGGAGATACAAACATACCGGAGTGAGTCTAGTGAAGGGCCATTAAGATGTTTGAAGGATGAGCATGTGTCAATTCAGGGTGAGACTGAGAGCGCTGGGATTGTTTGGTTTTGAGAAGACTTGGGGCTATCTTATCAATATTTATACACTACAATGGAATGGAACAACAAAGTTTTCTCAGTGGTGTCCATCGACAGGACAGGAGGTAGGCACAAACTGAAATGCAAGGAAAAAAAACTTTCATGTTTCTTTAGAAGGGCAGAGCGGGGCGGGAGGTGGTGGGGAGGACACAATAAAACCAAAGAAATCCAACAACTTTTACTGTAAGGGGAGTCAAACACTGGAAAAGGTTGTCCAGGGAAGTTCTAGAGCCTCATCCTTTGAGACAGTGAAAACTACTGGATGTAGTCCTGGGCAGCCTGCTTAAAGCAGGAGAGCTGAACCTGATGATCTTTAGAAGTCCCTTTCAACCTCAGCTGTTCTATGATCACATAGTTTTGTGAATACAGGAAACATTTTTATAAAGGCCACTAACAAATAGTCTGGCTGGAAGAATGAAGGATCTGTACAATCCAGTGTGCCTGGAGTTGTGCAATGGAATAGCCAAATAACACGTCTATAAATGCAAGTTAAAAATAGGCTTTGTTCACTTATGAAGCAATTGTGACAGCACTTCAGTGAAGTGACTGGGATAACTTAGTAAGGAATTTATCAGTAGGAAAAGATTTTTGGCTGGTGCCTCAAAAATCAGCTCTTTTGACTTCTCCCTGATTTGGAACATGTCATTAATCGCTGCCTCTAAAATACCAACCACAAGTTACATGCATACACTGGAATATAGGTACTGTAATTACTTCTGCCTAAGCTTTTGTATTCTCTTCCCTGTACAGATTTTAATTGATGGCACTTTCTTTGTCTAAACTTTTGGCTAAAACTTCCAAAATGAAATGTGCTGTACTCTATAGCGTGTTTAAAAATAGCATCATAGACAAGGAAAAACTGAGATTTATTGGTAGCACTGTGTCGTCTTATGATTTAATCTTATTTTTGTGCCTAATAAATATTCTTAACCTTCTCAATCTTCTTACTTACAAACAGCGGCCTAGTTAAGTTGAATAATGACATGTGAAATAACCTGTTCCTCAGGCTAATAGGAGATGGGTGATCTCTTGTGCTCAAGAAGAGCTAAACACCATGATGCCCTTTCTGGCAAGGTACTAAAGGTTAGCCATGATGGGCTTTAATTTTTTTCTGCTTTTCGTAGAAACAGTTTGGCCACGTGTCTAATACTACATCTTAATGTGTGATAATGCAAATGTGACTGTTGTGTAATCTGTTTGCAGTGAACGAGAAGGTATGTTATGAAATGGTTCTCATTTTCAATCCTTGCAGTATTTGTGGCAGCTTGTTTCATTAATAGTCTTTATGTTTACTCAGGCTCGGTGAAAGCATTGCAGCAAATAATGCCTACAGACAACAAGAAACAGAGCATGCATCAAAAAGAATCCAACTGCTGTCACCCATGACCAACGTTACTTCAGTGAGGTGTTCTTCATCCTGTCTTTCAAGTGATGAATCCACAACTTCAAATATTCAGGAATTAATACAAAAACTTCATTCTGGACTAGAGGTTAGTAGAATTGATATACCCCTTTTTAAAAATTTGACACTTTTTACTGGGAGGGCAGGGCAGAAATCCAAGTGTTAGGCTATAGCATATGTATAAGTTGAGTCCAGTTTAGATTCCTGCCTGTTTGGAATGTGCTCCTTTTACTAAGCTACTGAGCAGAATTCAGTGATGATTCTTTGTGCTACGTTATAAGCTGGGCTGCTTATTGAGATCTCTTTCTCCAGTGGGCTTACCCGTACACTTCTTAGCTATCATATGTGGAGGCAGGTGTTGGATATGGTTGCATCTGCCAAGATGTGCTGCAACACATACAGGGAACCTCTTCTTCCCACTTCCTAAGAAATAGCCTGTGATGAAACAGAGATGATAAGCTGCTTTAGAAGAGTATGGTACATCTCTTGTATGCCTGAACATGCAGATGAACATTTTCCTTCTTTCCTGTAGCTGACTTTTTAGTGTTTCCAGTTAAATTTTTGGTGGCCTTCTTGGAAAGGCAGTAGTATTACTTCTGAAGAAAGTTTTTGCTTCCCTCTGGAGCAACATTCATTGTGAATGAGGCACCCAAACAAGCACCACATACAATGTGCCGCTTTGCAGGCCATACTGTCAAACACTGAATGTATTTCCTCCTTATCTTTTCTGTTTGAAGGAAGTTAGTTGTTTTGTAGCTGCTTAAGACTGAGTGATGGATTGTTTTTTCTCTTTTCTTTTGGCTTAAAAGAACAGTATGCAGATTGAGAAAATGAACAACAGAAAGTGCCTGATAATGCAGATTGGGAAAATGAACATCAGAAAGTGCCTGATAATGGCTTGATATCTGTATTAGTGGCATTGCCTTCAGCCTTAGCTTTGCAACTATCTTCTTTCTTACAATTGATAAGAATGAAACTCAACAATCTATTGGTTCCAGTCAGCTGCTAGAACAATAGTGAGAAAGGTTAAGTGAGTCTTGGTTGGCTTAGTTTGTACTCTGCCACTGAATGCTCTCATTGATCATCCTTTTCAAGACAGCACATGACAGCCTGTAGGTGCATTGCTGTGTATGTATTAATGTCAGTTAAAGCAGTTGTAGGTGCCTGACAGCACTAGTGCAGCAGCTTCCAGGTGTGGCAGATGGTAAAGCTGCTTCAATTTCTTTTAGAGGAGAAAGTTGATGAATTGTTGAGTGAATCTTTTCTTAGACCTTCTAATTAGTAGAACTTTCCTTTAAAAATCAATATACACATTCACTTGAAACATGCAGTACTTCACCTCTGTGTGTGTTCTGTTTGTTGTGTGAAGCTCAAATGTGTGTAAAAATGTAATTGAGAAAAGACTTTTAATAGTATTGCTGTACAGAGTGAGTGGAGTGAAGGGAACTTACAGAAGCTTTTCTTATAGTACTAATACCTAAAAGGACATAGAGATCACAAGTTTGCGAGCAGGCAAAGTACTTGTTTCCTACTTCATGGCAGGGAAATGAGCTGAGAACTGGAGCTGCGCAGGAACTACTGTTATTATGTAAGAATCTTACATTCTGGTCCAAAGTAGTGTGAAGATAGTACCTTTTCAGTAGGTGTTCATTGTATGAACAGCTGGGATAGCTTGCATTTGATTGTGCATCAACATGAACAGCTGCTCAAAGCTGGTGTTACAGTAGCACTGCCTAGGAAGAAATATCCCGAAATCACCAAGTTGCATTCTTACTTGACTTTGGGCATATATCTTAATAAACACTTAGGACTTCTGCTGTATATGGTATATTTCCTCTAGTAAATGGGTAAACTTGCTTAGCTCTGTTCTCAGAACAACTTTCCTGAGCCTTTTCTGATAATCTGTATGTTGAGAAATCCATGGAGTATGAATGAGGATTTTTAGCCGCATGCATTTTGTGCTATTAATATTAGGGCAAATTACTTTAGGTACTCTATGAGGGTACTGCAAATTCCAGCAAAGGTTAGACCAAGGGGAACCACTTTACAGTAGTGATGCTACCTTTCCAGAGTGCTGGACCGATAGCCTTCTGCAGATGAATCCTATTCAGCCTAAATTATTTTTAGTTCAGTTGTTCACAGACTTTCCAGGGTAGATTCATTTGAGTAGTTTCAGATAGAAAAATAAGAAGTAAAAATGCTAATGGATGGGTGGAGTTCACAGAACTACCAAGCTCTTTAGGAACATGTTACATATCTAAGTAAATACACCTGTACAGTAGTAGTAATTGGAAAACATTTCCACAGATGAAGGAGTCGCTCACTGACATAAGGATATCTGACATAATGGATGTCTATGAGCAGAAGCTGTCGGCATTAGCAGTGAGTACAGCCTAATGGGTATGGGTATGGTGCTGTCTGTGCAGTCAGGAAATGTTTATGAAATATGTTCTTCCTTTGTACAGTCTAAAGAAACTAGGCTGCAAGATCTTTTGGAAGCAAAGGCAGTAGCTCAGGCTCAGGCTGAGAGGCTGATGACTCAGTACAGATGTCAAAGAGCCCAGGCTGAGTCAGAGGTAAGTAGCATGGAGCTTCCTTCTGGGACTCTGAGGTGGGACTAAGTAATAATTGTCTGGGTAGCTTTAATTGTGATGGCATGTGTGGAAACTCTGCAATGCTTAGTGTAGCTACGCTTGCAAGTTAAGGCAGACTTCATTTTTTATTACGAACATCCTGTTTCCCTCTGGATTGTTTTTGGAACTGTTTTCTTTAATGTCCTTTTCCTTATAGGAAGTCAACAAAACCAACCTACTGTACTGATTATTATTTGTAACCATTAGTATTAATTTAATAGTAGTAATCTTGAAAATTAGTATAGCTACATACTAGAATTCTATGTAGAATTTGCTGGTATGTGAGGAACTGTTTCCTGTTTGTGCCTTTTAATCACTTGTCCAAGATGAACTTTCAAATAAAGCTTGCTTCCATGGGATATGTATTTGAGGTGTGCATTGAAAACTTGGAATAATTTCTATTATCTAAAGGTTATAATAAAGATTGGGCTGCAGATTACTAAATACATAGCTAAAATGTATGATCTTTTACTTTCTTCCCTTTTCCCTCACACTGTCTATAAAGGAAGCCAAAGGAAATTAGTGAAGAAATTAATCTGTAAATAATATTAGGTGAGAGAAATAATTAACGTAGCTGATGGCATTTTAGTGTTTAGATCTATGGTCTCAAATATGGCTGTTACAAAGTGACTCATGAAACAGAGTAGCTTGTAATTGTGGGGCTGTTTTTGGTGGGGGGTGTCTTTCCACTCAAAGGCAAGAACTCTTGCTGCAATGTTGAAAGATGCAGAACGAAAAAATGAAGAACTCGGTGATTTGCTGAAAGCTCAGCGGGCCGAATCTGAAAGAGCACAGACTGATATAGAACAGCTTTTCCAACACAACAGGAAATTACAAACAGTTGCTGAAGAATATGAAATACTGAAAAGATCCTCTGCTGATCTTCTTCAGAGGTAAGGCATGTAAGATCTCTAAGCAAATACTTTGTATTCAAAGGGTGAGGAAGCCCTTCACTGTGCTAAGCACATTAGAAGGGCAATATTACATGCTACTTTATGTTGTTTGGTGAAAAATTCATTACTTTTTCTTCTACATGTTTATCAGTGAGATTAACTTCAGTCATTCAAGAAGTTAATATGTTAAATGGAATGAGAACTGAAGTTTTAGATGTTGAAGGTCCAGTTTGGGAAATAGCATGACCTTTGTATAAAAGGGAGCATTGTTCTCTAAGAAACAAAATTAACAATGCTCAGTTTCTGTTAGTATTATACCATACTCTTTGATGTCTGTCTTTGTTCTTATACGCTGTCTTGATGACATGCTATAAATAGTCTGGAGAAGCAGCCAATAACAGTATGTCTGCATAAGGTAGAGGCTTGCATCTTTGATCACTTCTGTAGCAAACTTGATTGAACTTAGGTAAAAGTGAGATAGGAAGGAGGCACCTTGTGTGTCCCAAATTATTTATAAGCATCATTTCTTTAGGATCTTAAGCTGAAAAAGGACATATGAAACACACAGTATATGAAGATAAAAACTATTTGTGAAAATAGAGTGTGCTTTTGAGGAATAAAAGCTTAAAAGAGCTTTGGCTTTACAACTCACATGACCCTGTCTCGTCACTAGGTGTCAGCAAGGCAAAGAAGCTGGTAAAATTGAGAGCAAGTTTCTTGCTTAGTAATGGAGCAGGCATTATATTTGACAATTTTGAAGGTATATTGCTGCCAATAAGGGAGCCATCGAGGGAGGAAAAATGTATAAAACTTTTGTTCATTATGGGGTTTCTTGGATAAGTATCTAGTATGATCAATGTGGAAGTGCCTCCTTTTTTGCTTGGAACTGTATGCAGTCATACTCTGTGAACATGTATTTGACTGATTAATGTGAAATAAACCAGCTGCAATTTAGTATTTAACAGTTGTAAATTCTCCAAAGCAGGCATAAAATAGCTTTCTGATCCTTACAATGTGTTTATAAAGCAAAAATTTTCATTCTGAACAATCTATACACTTTAAATATGCTGTTCCTTAAAAACAACCCAGTAACTGACATCAGGGGAGAAAATTTTCCTCTCGGTAGGAAAATGGGAAAACATTTGCTTAGAGCATGAGATCTACCTCATAAACTCGTATTAAAGACATTCTGTGTTTTCAGTGTGTTCAGTTTTGATATCACAAGCCAACAGTCCTAGACTGACTCAAAAAGTCCTTTAAAAGATGACTGCAAATACTCAATTTAGACCAGTTTGTGTTTGTCAAATTTCTAAAGGGATCTGTATGTTTTGTCTATTCCTAAGAGTTTTCTGCTGGAGGAAAGTTGCTTCCTGATCCTTAATAATTAAGGATATGTCAGAGATCCACTGATGCTTGGCTTGTTGGGTTGGGGTTTTTTTCTTCCTCCAGGTATGTTCATTAAAAAAACCAAAATAAAAACAACACTCAAACTACCACCAAAAAATCGACACCACCTCCCCAAAACACCTTGCTTTTAGTTTGAGTGGGATGGTTGCATAGATGTTGTCAAGTATTTTTTATTTGACAAACCGTTATGTTAAAGTAAAAGCTCTTCAAAAGCACTTAAACTCTTCAGCCGTAACCGCCTAATTCATTTGTAGGTATGAAACAACTGAAAGACAGCATAAAGATTTACAGATTACATGCAATTCACTAAATAAACAAATGGAAGCAATGAAGAAACTAAATGAATCACTCAAGCAGCAGAATGACAGGTAAGTTCAATTTGGTCTTTTTAACGCAAATTAAACAGTAAAAGTAAGTAGCATTTAATCTCAATTTTTTGATTGAGCTTTAAGTAACATCTGAGAAGTGGAGTTCTAGGAAGCAAAAGATAATTCAGGGTTGGTTTTATATGTGTATGTTAGATGAATATCTATATCAGTGACTTTGGTTAATTTTGTTTGCTCCTGTATTGGGGTTGGGAGGAATACCCAGTATGCTCACAGGCAGGCCTTGTATTCAGTTGAGAAATAAAATGCTATTCTTGGTTTTCCTTTTAAAGTTCACTTCATCCTTCCAGGCTTTTGCCTTGTCACTAATCAGAGCAGTCCAAATCACTGCTTTGACTTCTGATCCAAATGGAAGAATTTTCATACTGGTACCTAAGTTTGCTACTGAATAAATTTGGACACTTAATTTCACTGGTGCAGTATGCAGCTCAGTGTAATTGGGAAGATATTCTGATGACAGCTGCTTCTTTTTAAAGGCAGGCTGGGGGAGCAGTTATATAGATATTCTTGAACTGTTATGAATAAAATGTAGACCATGGAAATTAACTCTGTCCCTCTTGCTGGAGGCTGCAGCTTAGAAACTGGTGAATAGGGAATGGATGAATAAATAAACAAGAGTGACAGCAGATGCCATATAGGCAAAGCAAATGGCAGATAGAATATGCCTTAGAAATTAGGTTAACCAGTAATGGAAAAGGTAGATTAGCTTCACAGGTTGCAGCTATAACGGTGATAGATGACAGTACCTATATATAAAATTATTGTGGAAACTAAATGTTATCCTATCTAATGAAGACTGAAGCAGCCCTATATATGGGCTTTGGTGATATCTTAGGAAATCGTTGGGTTTGTCTCGTGTTGTGTGACGATCTGGAATATGGTATTGGAAAATCATTATATATAGATGTGCTTGCATGAAACGGGCATTACTAATGGTATTGTTGACTCTGGAGCATACTAAGAGGTAAAACCCCAGCATCCTTAGTCACTAATGGCAGTGAATTTTGACTTTCTTTGAATGACAATTTCAGTTCTGTCATAGTATTTTGGATGCTTTGTGGCTGCAATCAAAAGCGACAGTTTCTGGCATTTAAACTCCAGATAGGAACTTTTTCAGTGGTTTCTACTGTGTCTCCATGATCAGAAAAAGGAAATGACTATTTCATGGGGGGAGAGGGAATAAAATCTGTCTGTCTGTGCTCACACTCTGCAAATTCATAGGTTTGTTTTGAAGCTCCTGACAGGAATTGGAAACGACACAAAAATCATTCTAGCTTCTTAGGATAGAGAAATGGTGGCAGATCTCACTTTGATCGTTAAAATTTATTTCTCTGCAATTTTAGGATTGCTGCACAGTTGGTAGAAACCGAAGATCACAGAAAAGAACTACAGCAACAGCTACAGGAGAGAGATGGCAAAATAACAAGTAAGTCTCATACTTAAACTTCACTGAACCTAGAGAACTAACTAGATTAACTAGATGTTGTTGTTATGGGCTCTGGGTTAGCAGCTACATCTTACTAAGTAATTTGTAAATCTTAGTTAGGCAGGGATATGTAATAGTTGAATGAAACAAATACAGATTTTTGGTTTTAGAAAGGATACATAAACTTAATTTCCTAGACTGCATGGACTTCAGTGATTGTCTCCACAGCATCACATTTCCCTTCGGGATCTTTTTACAACATGTCCATTTAAACTGTTTTCTGTAGGGACTGCAAATTTTACAAGAGCTTAATTTAACTCTTTTGCAAATGTGACTGAAAGCAGCTACTATCACGTAGCAGTAGGTGGCGCTACTCAGTAATTAAATTATTAGCTGCTATACTGAGTCTAAAATAAAAACAAGCCCCAAAACCTTGTTTCCCTGGCGATGCAGTATCTCTTTTCTAAGTTTGGCAACCCATCTTTTATTGTGTTCGTTTTCTTCAGCTTTGCAACAGAAAATAAAAGTTCTGGAAGAAAAACTGCAAGCACAGCAGAAAGAAAAAAAAGATATGGAACAAACTATAGATATTCTTAGAAAGGAATTAAGTAAAACGGAGCAAGCAAGGAAAGAACTGAGTATCAAGGTAAGGAATTACTTGCACCTGCATTCTAGAGACCAGAATTCTAGCTATTTAACTGATAGAGTTGGTAAACCTGTATTTTGGTGGTAAAGTAGCTAAAGAAACTAGAGCAGCCTATGTAGTGGACAGGGAGAAATTCTCTCAACTTTAATTGTATGCCATTTGAGTTTTGAGTAACTGAGCTTGAATTTAAAAGAAGAGAAGTCAGGGTCAAGTTCTAATGAGGCTATATGAGGTGTGGTGTGTGACCATAGAATGTTTGGAAGGAAGGAAAAAAAAAACAACCCCAAGCCTGTAGAACAGTATTAAAAAAGAGAAGGTAGCACATTCCTTTTCAGTAGTTTTGACTACTGTAAAATGTGGATTAGCTTACTTTCTTCCCTTGCTCGCATCCTGAGTTAAGGTACCTGTGCTGTATACGTACACACCAAAATGCATCTGATGGTTTTTGACCTTTGAAATTTTAATAAAATACCTATTTTTGTCTCTAAGAAAGATAGTGTCTTTTCTCAAAACAGAGACCAGTTTGGCTATACCAAGCTAACTAAATAGTATTAAAACCATAACTAAATCCCCCAAACTTCAGTGCAGCCTCTATGTCCTTGCCTGTAGGTAAGGCTCTCTGTAAATTCACAAGGCAGAGATTCATTTTCATGCAAACTGATCAGCAAATGCAAAGTGTACAGTCTGGCAAACACATTTGCTATATTTCCGTTCCCTGGAAGCAAAGCCTAATCTCTGCAGGCAATATTGTCCAGAATATAGCAAATATTTCCCTTGTTCTTGGTAAATATTTGCTGGTGTGGGGCCTGAAATGACATGTGGATGGCTTAACTGTGAACACTTGTGCTGCTGAAATAGGACAATGATATGGTAGGTGGTGGTTTCCTGTGGTATCACTAAGTGTGGTAGTCACTGTAATCATTCATGTACACCAAATGCATAGCTGAGAGATTTCCGAAAGGACCTTGTAATTTTAAAACTACTTTTTAATTTACTTGCTTAAATTGACCACCAGGCCACTGAGCTCACACTGCACTGTGTGCTTATCAATTGATAATGGATGATAACATTTTGTTTGTTTCTGCAGGCATCTTCTCTGGAAGTACAAAAATCCCAGTTGGAAGGACGCTTGGAAGAAAAAGAAGCACTTGTAAAACTGCAGAAGGAAGAACTGAACAAACATTCCAATATGATTGCAATGATTCACAGTCTAAGTGGTGGCAAGTTAAGTGCAGAAACAGTGAACCTCAGTTTATAGGGCTTTGTTTTTAAGAATTTAGTATTTTATACATATGTATGAATATATGTAAAGGTGTTTAAACCCGAGGCTAGCATACTATCTGACTTGGGGGAAAAAAAGCTGAACTAAAATTTAAAGTAGCCTAACTAACAACTGAGAAGAAAGAGTAGTAATTGTGGAAGCTTTGGTCTGAAAAAACTGAGCTGTTGTATAGCAAATAGATCTTGTGATGGTCTTGGTAGAACTATTATCACCTGTATTGGGAGCTGCATGCAACTTTTGCGGATGACTAACCTTTCTTAAATATATGTAGGGAAAAATAGGAGTCACTGTCAACATTTTTTGCCTGTATATTCTTGTATTGGCTGTCTGGCAAGGAGTATGCTTCATAGGTTAAGCACTTCTATAACCTTGTTTATTTCAACTCTTCTGAATATCATTATTATTTGTGCAGTGTTGCTTTCTGATGTTTAAGGTACAAACATAAAAATAAAATGGATTTTTTTCAATTAGAACTTGTTATGTTGAAAGCTGTATTTATCAGTGTATCGGTGCAAGTGCTTCATGCAATGAATATGCAGAGGCGTTTATAATTGCAAGGAGATATGAAATAGAAAACCACATTTGAATGACTTTTCAGCAAGTAGCATCAATTAGGGAAGCCATGCTAAAATGAAATACATGAATGTACAAATATTTCACAAATACTAGATAATACTTTCCTAATCCTACAGTACTTTGCATTCGTTAAAAAGATCTGCACTTTTTTGACAATCTTATCTGGTACATGCTAGCTACTCTCAGCATTGCTGGTTCCTGCTGTACACCAACAGGATTTCATAAATTGTTCATAGTGTAACTATTTAGGTAATTCTGTTTTTAAAAAATGTACTTTCGTATGAAAGACTAGTACTAGAACCTGATGCACAGTTTTGAGTAGGCAGAACACTTTCCTGTCCTTAGTTAACATGTGACATGAATAACATGTCTTTTAGCAGTTGGCAGAACTATTTCATTAGTATCTGTGTTTTGGTAGAGTTACCAGTTTTGAGTCATCTAATGTATATTTTTTTTCTGTAGCATTGCTGCCTTTACTTGTATCTAATTTGTAATGGCTAGATTTTAAAATACCTGACATTCTTTGTTTTTCAACTGTGTAACAGAAGTGTCTTACTGAATCTGTTCAATTCATGTCTAAGTAGATCCTTGTACATTCTGTTGCAATTATACATATCTGATGAGTTGTATAGGTTTTAACCTGTTACTGAAATACAGTGTTTCTAAGTTAAGCACAGGCAAGAGTCAGATATTGTTCTGGTCTCTGTGAAGACCAGGGGAATAAAACAAAAATCAATTGCTCTATTTTCTGTGTCTTACATATTCTCTGATGTAAGGTAAATTTTAGGTATGACTGCCAACTTTGTGCACAGTGCATGCAGTTTGGTTGCCTTTTTGCATAAAATGCCGTTTCTGCTTAGGAAGGTCAAAGAGATGCTGTTGGAATTGCTGAAGTGAAGAGTTTTGTTAGTTTTGCAAGCTCAGTTAGGAAAGAAAGCTTCATTAACCATAAATTTTTACTTCAGTCCTAATGGTTAAATTTGAATGTCAAAGTACAGTTGCAGATGTGGGTTCATTTCTATTGAACAAAAAGAAGGGAAAGGGTAAGTGAATCGATTTTTATGTTTTGGGGTTTTTTCCCCTCTTATAACAGCAACTATTCATGTAAAGAAATTAAAGAAGGAAATGTCAAGTATGTTACTAATTAAACTGATAAATGTTGGTCTGACTTTATCATCACGTGGCGGAATTGAGAGGGCAGAAACGTCAAGCCACTCACAGAGTAAGGTTATTCAGCAATAAGGTTCATGTCCTCAGAAAATGGTAAATGAATCTTTGAAGTTTACATGATAGAATCCACAGTAATATGCATGATGTGTAAATATTGATTGCTTTTTCCCCCCGGAAATATGTGCTGCCTCAGAATGCTGTTCTAAGCCAAGTGTTGCTGAACTCTGTTGGGTTGCATAGCAAATAAATGCATGGACACATCAAGCTACTTTGACAGCATTTTTGTGTGCTTTTCCATTCGTAATGAATAGTGGCTAATGGAACTAGCAAGTAAAAATTGATGGCTGTTTAAAAATTTGTTCAAAATGTATAGCTCTTTTCACTGTAGAAAAACCTGTAGATTTTTATACTTCAAGCAAAGAAATAACTGTGTTCTGAGGGTTTGCTTTTAGGCATCCTGATATTATCAGTGTTCAAAATAGTTCTGTAAAAAGGTTCCCTGTGCAGTTCTAATATTCTTGTACATGCTGTATCCAATATGCTATTGGACTTTTCTTCTTTCCCCACAGGCTGCCTCATTTAGTGAAGAGAATAGCTGGCACCAGCATGGTGAATAGCAATACAAGAGTCGATTTTTAATTATCTGTGTCACATCAGGTTGTCAATTGCCTGTTGTACAAGTGCAGAGACTCTTGGGTTGTCTTAGTGCACAGTAACCTCACGTCTCAATATCGGGCACACTAGTACTTCTTATCTGAAAGTAGCTGCCCTTTATTCTATATACTCTAAAGAAAGTTTTCCATGCAGCATGTGGTGCTGCATGGCTTGGTATATTATTTCAATGCTGCTGTAAAAATAGTATTTTTTTTTTTTTCTGTGCTGTGTTTTCTGTGCTTTCTGTTTATTTTTTTGGTGTACTTTTTGGGGATGATGAGGTAGTAAACAGTTTGGAGTTGATGCTTTTCAATTCATCATGTTTTGTATGTTGTCTTCACCTTACCACTCTTCTTGGTCTTGATTCTGTATTCTTTGATCTTTTTCTATTTCCATGCTAGCGGTTTATTTTAGGCTTTCACTTTCCCCTACTTCTCTGCACCTCTCTTTCACCACTGATTCAGAGTGACAGTGCCTACCACTTGCTTTTCCCTGGTGAGGTCTGTCTTGTATTGAAATTAGGAAGCTTTTTTTGTGTGCTGTTTGCATTTAGTAGTGGAGCCCTAACCACCTGTGGGATAAAACAGGCTGTGGAATGGAATTCTGCCTTTTGAATTAAGTTCAGTTGGTCATCCTTACCTCCACAGAACATGGAGTGTGAAGCTTTTCATGAACCGGTTCCCATGGTGTCATTGTCCTCCCACTACACTTGTCTCTGTTAGAAATAAGGCAGAGCATTTATTTTTTTCTTACTTAGTGTGGTCAAAACATTTATGCTGTGGTGTTTTTGCTAGCATGTGTAGCTTAATGTAGGCAAAGGCTCCCTTTCCTCCCAGGCTTCCTCCCTTGCCTGCCTTTGGCTGGCGTTTCTGTAACTTCAGGATGAAGTTAATATCTTGCACACAAGCAATATCATGAACAGCTAATATGATTATTTTTTTTTTCCAGGAAGTACATAGTACTGATGGTGAGTAGTAAGATTTATTTTATGATGGTGTAAACCAAATAATACAAAGTTCTGAGTGAAGAAGTCTATAAACTGCTTACGCTACCTATTCAGCAGTGCCGAGTGTTGACTGCTGGTCAGGAGCTATGTCTTCTTTATGTTTACAATTTTCTTGATTCAGAGGTACATGCCTAGTTCTCCAGGAGTTCTCTAGCAGTGCACTTTTCTGGTACAAGTGCAGGCCAAAAATGGGTCAAATTCCACTAAAACTGTAACACTGAGCTTTATAGGTTTGGTTTAAGTGCTCTTGTGAAGATGCAAGGAGGGGTTCTCTGCTCCTTTTTCTTGGAGTTTATTGTTAACAGCGAAAGATCAAGTATTTTTAGGCAAGTACTTATTTCACAGAAAATGCTTTCAACCTAGCAAAGTTGGTTTATGTATAAATAAACTCCTCCATGCACTCCCATCTGGTTACTTCTGAAATCTTCAGATTTGTTCGCTGTCTGAAACATGCTTCCTTTCCAGCTTTTTCTCACCATTTTCCCTTCTGCAGTGTGATGAAATTGAGAACAGTCTGCTAGCTTTAGATCCCCAGGGACACATTTGTATCTATCTACCCTGGTCCAGTCTAAATTGACTACTTTCCTAGGAGCACATAAAAAGGAGGTATAACTAGTTTGGCTGAATTATGCCACACTGAAAACTGTACAGCTGTTGATGTAAATGTCCCGCTAGACCTGAACCATGCCTGCCAGGCAGGGCAAGGTGCTTCTCCACCTCCAGAGTGGCAGCCTGCGTTATTCCAGTGATGCTGGAAAAGATGTGCACTTGTATCCAAGAGGATGTCCATTTCAGAACAGAAATAACAAGGTAGTATGATCCTCATTTTGATGTCCAGCCTCCATTTGGATCTGCTATGCCTGAGGTTCTCATAGTCGCAGCATGTTAAACTCTTCTGAAGGAACAACCTCATGCCCTTTCTGACATGTTGCCCTTTGACATGGGATTAACTGATAGTCTTGGCTGAAGAGCTGGTGGTCAGCAATAATATCTTGTCTTATTATGAATGATTCTTGTAAAGGGGAATTAGTAAGAAGGGCCAGCTGGACTCATGCGTGTGTTTCATGCTTGGCATTAGCGTCGCTTATGTGATTAGAAACTCTCCATGTCTCCTTTTATGCCTGTATGGCTTTCTAACCGAACTATAAACACTAGGCCGAATCTGGAAGGGGAGTTTAGGTTGGCCTGGGGTTTTTCATGGCCATTACTTTTTGTCTGAAAATGGAAGCTCAGGAATAATGGGGGCCCTTATATGTTGCTACCACTGATGTGTTTGCCATTTGTCTTCCTGACCCACAATTGTCAGGTTGTGTTGGGTTTTGAGCAAACATTGCAGCCACTTTGTTCATAACAACAGATTTTATTTTTTTATTGGGGATGTCTTTGGAAATGGAAGTATACAAATCTGCTGGTGTAACCCTATTAAAACTTTAGTGGTGTTTGCCCCACAAACCAATCTTTCCAGGAGAATATGTAAGACCATCACTGCCTGCACACAGCATATTCTCTGTGTCTGTTTCTGTGACGCAAACCTCTGGGGCCCTTAAAGAAAGGAGAGATGAAACCAGGG